GCTTCCATATAACCGATTGTCCACAGACGTTGTTTTGCGTTATAACTCCTCCAATTGAACAGGTAAAAATTTAGTATAGGTTCACTTTAACATATAGCACGTATACAATTTATTATTAAGATATGAAGTTATAGCGCAAAAACACATACCTGAGTAATCAGTCGTATTAGAGCTAAACGTTTAAGTGTACCCATTTCGATAATTTTTAGGAATAATTAAGGTAATATTAAAAAACCGTTATGTGCAAAATTTAAGTAAAATAACTTCAAAACTGAGCGAGTTATTTATAAAATAGTTAAAATTTAATAAAATTTTCAAATACCCTTATCTCGAAAAAAGGAGCCAATCTGGCAAAACGGGGGATGCCATTGAATTTAAAAGGTCCCAATGTAGTGAGTTCAACTTTCAAAAGCTTTGCTCAAAATTTACAACTTGAACAACGTAATTTGAACCCAGCTAGCTTATTCTTTTGTTTTCTATTTGATGTTTATTCCTCGTCCAACTTTTGAAGCACTTGATGAAAATGAATTACACTTATATTAATCGATTTATTAAGAGAGTACGAATAAAATGATATATAAACATAGGTGTGCTCACAAATTTAAAAATTAATTTTTTTTTTGGAGTGTACCTATTTTTTAGATTTGCCCATATAACTACAAAAGTGACAGCCGTTTTCGTTGTTCTGCGAGATGAGCAAAATATGGGTAAGTGTAGAGCCAGTGCAGGTAAACGTAATACTTTCTTTGATAATTGATAATAGTTGCAAATTTTTAACGCAGGTATCGATAATGTGCAGGTATGTTGAATGCATCTATCGGAGCAATTTCCTTATCAATGTTACAAATAATGCCGCTGAGGCTCTGGCTTATTTTGCTTTTGACAGTTTTACTGGTTTTATCCAGAAAAGTTGAGGAACGTAACTAATATTTTAGCCCTTTGATTTTTTTCAAGCAGCTAAGTTATACATATTTTAATCATACAATTTTGAAATTAGAGCACCCGGCACTGGTATCCGATAGATATCCGGAATCCGGCTTATCCGGCCGTTTTTCTGTTATCCGACTATCCGACCGTATACTGGCTAATACTGGCTAACATCCGGTCGGATTTACGGATTTTCATAGATTATACAAGACTCAATTTAAAAGTCTAGTTCAGATTTTTTTTGTAATCAAATTTAAAAGTATCTAATTAGTCATTAGAGCTAAAAGTGTATACATAAATTTTTCATTATGAAAAGAAGCATTTCCGCATTATCGCGCAACAACCTATTTTTTTCAACATAAATACTACCCGATGCAGTAAGCACTCTTTTTGCCAGTGTAAACAAATTTGAAATTCTTTGCGACTATGCTTCCACCAAATTAAAAAATTTCCTTGTCTGGGTATCAGTGTTGCCAGAACTTTTTGGACGAACCGGCTAAATTGGCAAATAAAACCGGCTAAAAACGGCTAAAATGTTTCAACTAAATTTCACATGTTCTATTTAAATAAATCACGAGTAAAAAGACTATTTCTTGGAGAGAAGTTACAAATTCGAGCCGGAAAAAATTTTGCCAGCAAGAATTTGCAATTAAGAAAAACATATGATTGTGGCACATGGTTGGATTTTTTGTTGACGATAATTTGAATAAACAAGTTCGTGAAATTTAAAAATTTACAAACTGGAGCGATTTTAAAATGAAAAATACTTGTTTACTTAATTAATTTAGGTAATTCCAATGATTTGAAAGGTACTCGGCAAAAAAAACTGTATTCTTAATCGGAATGCAATCTCAACCAGAGTCGATATGCGTAAACCCGACAAAGAAATTGAATCGTATGTTGAAGAAAGTCGGACTGACAAGATATATACACGTGATCCTGTTTTTTGCCCCTCTGAAAGAATTTTAAAAATTCTATACAAATTTCTTTTGTTTGAAATGCAACCGTGGACACTAGCTGGCAGATAAACTTGTAAATTTGCGTTCGTACAGAAAATTGCAAGTTTCTCTACATGAGAGAGAATTTGGGAGCATTTTTTCTTACTATCTGACACTTTGAGTGATAATTCCCGCTGGATTTTCGACGAACAAACCTATTGTCTTCCCTACAAGGCCTTTTCAGACTGACCGATTCTCAATACACTCAAATAGAAACCAATACACATAAAAAACGCTGTAAAAATTTCCCTTCAATTTTAAGGCAGTAAAACAACGACCTTAAGTTAACATCAATCGAGGCCATATGTTGACAAGGGATGCAAAATCACAGTTACACAAAAGAACTGGTCAGATTTTTTAGAAATCCCTTCAATTCTGATGTAAAATATGGTGCCAAAAGACTTCAGATCTCCCATTTGGATGACCTGTCATATGACCGGCAGATGTCTCGTAGAATTCCCAGAGAGTTTTGCTGTACATAAAAATTTTTGCTCTTTTATTTTCATTTTGACTCACTTCAGTGTTGGTTCCTTTAATTTAAGTTGGCATACGGTTTTTGGAATTTAAATAAGTTCTCAGCAAAAAAGTTTGTTTTAAAAAATACATATGTGTACATAGTGCTTGAAAATATCAATTTTTCCCTTACCTTAAACCTTTGGGAGTGGGCAAAAATGATGTTTTGTAATTTAGGCAGAATTGAATATGCGCTATCTGGGAAGACAATATCTACATGTAATATTTATTCTGTTTGTTGGCATTATATCCAAACACAAACGCATCTTAAGTGTCTTAACAGTGAAACAATTTCTTATTTTCTAAGTTTGCGAATAAAACTTCACACTTAAAATTAAGACATTTATAACAAACATTTTATAAAGAAAATCCCTTCTTCGTTTAAAATAAAAATAAGCGAAATCGGGCCAATTTCATACAACCCTGCCTGACATGAAAATTTTCTCCACCATAAGGCTATTAGCCATTTCTAACAGCTTTTGGGTCACTTAGTCAAAAATGGAAACATATATACATATTTGAAATTTAGGAAAACAAGGCAAATAGCAAAATCTGCTAAAAACGGCTAATTTTTTCTGCAAAACGGCTAACAAATCGGCTGCTGGCTAAATCGAAATTTCTCCGGCTGTTTGCTATCGCAACCGGCTAAATCTAGCCGGAAAACGACTAAAATGGCAACACTGCTAGCAGCCGATCAGTTTGCGTTTGCAGTTCAAGCAGTAAGCATCACATGCGCAAGCTGTTTTGTTGAGTACACACAACATACATGATACAAAATTATTGCGCTTGTATAGGGAGCTCTGCTCACGTTGTGCACCACTGGTCTAAATGAAGGAAGGCACGATCATGCGATCTTACATCCACCTAGAAATCAGTTCATAAATATTACCACGAATAGTAATGGCGAATTAACAAGGAATGATCACCGTAGGTATATCAATTGCTTCATTTGAAAGATATTCAAGAGATTACACGACTCATTTAGCCAATGTACCGGTAAATTTTTCATCCCGTGGGACAGCGAGGATTCTTGGCCCTCCTATAACAGAAAATGCACTACTTCTGTGCTCTTGAGTTTCCTTATAAGAACTTTTATTGGCATACGCATCGCACCAATGTTGTAGTTGCAAGATCATAGAAAAAGATTAAGCATGGTTAGCAGAGATCTCACAGGTGGAAAAAAGACCATCGCACATGACACCGAAGGGGATCGGTATTCCATATGGTATCACAGCGTTACTATTATGTTCGATGAAGATACTGCGCCTTAGTGGTTTTAACTTAAACCAAAAATTTTGGCTTTACAGACTATATTTGCCTTTAAACGCTGTTTTGCAACGCAAGAGTTCTTATAAGGCGCCGCGAAGTAAGCGGGCATTGCTAGTCCCTGATAAAAATGTAGTTGCTGGTTAGTTTCGTTATGCTGAGGGAAAAGAAACTGCTAGAAGCAGATGAACTTTTGCGGTTCAGCGAAGAATATTGCGAGAGGCAACCAAGAAATAGTACAGTTAAGTGACCTACTGTTTCATTGAATAATAGGCCTGTTTTTCACGTATACGTACATACATATGGGCATTTCCCAAAAAAGGTAAACCGAAAATGCAATTAAATGAATTCAAACGGCTTTATAACTTTAAATTTCGTATTCAGATGACGAAAAAAGGTTTTGAAAACGCGAAACGGCAGGGAGAAAAAAATTAAATAAACATTTTAATTTAGTATGTGTTACTAGCAAAAATATTGCATGGGGGAAAAATCTGTCACGTCCGATATGTCACGTCCGTTACCAGAGTTTAATTCAAAATTAAATCAACAACGAATTGCTTCTGATTAAAAATGAATTGGTTGTAACTGTTCATAATTTGACTTTATTTAAAGAATGTTTAATAAAGGAAAACCTTACAGGATTCGCTGAGTTTTGCTTATTTTTACATGTACTCTGAAATCACTTCTGTTTTTGTCGCGTCCGTTATGCCCTCTTTTTCAGTGTTCCAAGTGCACCTTATTTGTTTGCCAACCAAAGGACGGTATAAAAGCTACACAACGCAAATTTTTTTTTACAAGTGACTTCAGTTTTCGTATGATTTATTTAATTCTAAATTCGTACGAATGTCGCGTGCGTAACCCAGGATATGCCGATATATAGGTACATACCCGTATCTACGCTTAAAATTTTAATGAAGCTGTAAGCGACAAACTTTATGTTCGCTTATAAATAGTTGTCGATAAAATCAAAACTATTTGTTTTTAAATGGAAATTGCCGATGCTCGTTTCTTTTGCAGCTTAAGCGTAGATGTACTACATATGTAGGTGAAAAACAAACCGGCCAATATTATCAAAATAAATCTACAGACAAGGTAAAGATGTACACAAAAGCCATTATAAAATTCTATTAAAAAAAATGAGAAATTAAAGAAAAATCAACTGCTCAAAAACATCGAAATAAGAAATGCGACTAAACTACAAATTATAGACAAGTACTTTTTCAACCAACTGCAACTACAATACGTTTACGCTAAAAACGTAAGATACTACGTGTTTTCAAACACTTTAAAACTTACCCGATGACTTCGAGAGGCTTTTGGGTCCAAATATGTGCGCAGTTTGTTTAAATAATGAGCGGGTGGATCCTTTGCTTGTACCATTTCCTGCAAAATAAAATTGAAATTTTAAATTATTGGGAATCATACAGTGTTCCCTTTATTTAAAATTTAATTTGTTGTTAAGTCAAAATAAATTTTTCTCACGCTCACCTACGAACAAAATGATGGTGAAATAACACAAACGGCAAAAACGCAAACTTGCTTTATTTCACTTTTAAATGGGAAATAATACCAAAATCTGAGTTTTGCTTTATTTCCTACAAAGGTTTGAAATAAAACAAATTTTGCCTTATTTCCCATTGCTTATTTATACTATTTGTAAAAAAAAACTGTTTACTGACAGAAGGAAAAAGAACTTCCCTGCAAACCGAAGTTCCCGAAATCTTAAGGAAATCGTTAGGTGTATCTCATTTCTGTA